ACAGGTTAGGGCTATCTAATTACTATTTATATCTAAGTCCCACCACATTGGATGTTACTAAGTATCTATAGTCCTTTCGAATTTACCCTCGATGCAAACTTACTAAGTATGGTACCAAGATTACCCCTTAGATTTATCCAATTTTAGTATATCTTGTATTTATTAGAACCAGTTTGGTGCCAGAAGTGTTTGAATTTCGGTAAGTCCATTCCTTTTTCATAGTTTCTTTTTATGTTCACTATATCACCCATTAGTACGCCTTCTCTCCATTTCTGGTATGTTCATCACTTCTCTCATATCGAGTGCCAACTCTCCATATTAGGAATATTTTTTCTGAGAACTTTCTTATATACCGATCTTCTAATCATATAGACTTAGCCACAGGGCTTCATGTACATTCATATGCTTCTGTAGATTACAGAGTTGCCTCCAGCTGGAATTGAACCATCAACCTTGTCTGTGAAGAGAGGGATGCCTAGACCACTAGGCTATGGGACTCCATCACACTATATTAATTTATTAAATTATATTTAAAAAAAAATTAATATTAAATATTTAAAAATCTTTTAAGAGTTATAAAATTAGCTTGTTTTATTTTTAGTAATATTTTTTATTTTTAAAATATTTTTAATATTTTTTGGAATAATTAATTTGTAGCTAAGGGTTACAATTTATTTTTGTAACCGAATAACATGATCGGTAATTTACCTAATTAGATTTCAATATTCATGCTATGTACAATAACCTGAATGACCCAGATTGTCAGAAATTAAAAATATGCAGTAACAAATATAGTATATATATATGCAAGTATATTATTTATCTGATTTGTTTAACAATAATTGATCTGCTAGAAAGTGAATAAATAAAAGGCGTAATTGCAATTACAAACAGCTTTTTTTTTTTGCTTTGATCTAATAACCTAACAGGCAGAAACAAGCAGATGCACAATAGAAAACATGCAATATAAGAATTAAGACGAAAGTAGTATATTGTATAAAGCTGAATGAGTGCTATATATTATTGAAAAACTGAATATTGGATAACTAGACAAGGTGTTTTATAGTCTTATCTATGGTTAACATGATCAAAACTAATGACTAGTATTTTTATTTCGTCCAATATAATAATCTAATAAGTAAAGGTGTGAAAAACAAAATATATAGCATCAAAACAAAAGAAGAATATAAAATTAAACTACATACTAAACAATCAGATATGTATCAGGTAACAGGTAAATTTTTTTACAGTCTTGTTCTACAATGAATGTAATTGAAATTAACTATTTTTTTTTTTTTTTTTAGTCTAATGTAATAGCTTAATAAGAGAGAATATACAACACAAAAATGAATATATAATGTTAAAGTAAGTAGCACTACATATCGAATAATAGAATATCAGGTGACAAAGTTAATTCTTTAATGTTTTTTCTATAGTAGACATGATTTAAATAATGGTTATTTTTTTTTTACTTAGCTTTATAATCAACGAGTATCTGGTAAGTTAGTACATAAGAATCAGTTTAGTAAGGACAAACAAATTAAATAAAGTCTGAGTAAGTGTTAAAGTAATACTGAAAAATCAAATATCTGATAAGTGAATTATTCGTAAAGTTCTTATACAATTTTGATATGATCTTGAAATAATTTATTTTTAATTTTTTTTTTTCTTCTAGCTTCACAATCTGATAAGTCTTTTATAAAAAAGCAGTATTTTGACATCTGAAAATCGAATTAGTAAAGAATAAAGAGTAAAATAAGGTTGAAATGACACAGAGGAGTTTAAGATTGAAAAACTAAAGATTAGGTACCATTTATGTGCTTTTTTTATAATTAAATATATTAATCTAAAAAATAATTATTCAAACGAATAAGAATTGAATGTATATAGGAAAAGAAATAAGTAAGGTTAAAAAGATAATGAAGTATTAGTTAATATAGGTTATTAAGCATTATTTGTTTATTGTAATTATTTGATCTAATGATTTTTCTACCTTATCTATAAGTACAAATCATTTGTTTAGTTTTACCAAACCAACTTACAGACTTTGTTAATATTATAATGATAAAGCTATTCAGGATGATTGAATATACATGAAACTTCAGTGCTTTTTGATTCTTCAATTTTCTCTAATTATCTTTAACAAGAATTCCAGTATTTATCACAATATCCACAATCATTTTTGAGTAATGATATGTCAACACTTGATTTACAAGTTTCTTCTGTAATTTTGTACAACAAGATTCTCTAATGTTCAATATACTCACTATAGATACTACAGACAACAATACATTTGATATTAGTTTATCTGAAACAAATGAAAGTGAAGATCAGCTTAATATTATTCCTGGTTCAGTATTTATAAGTTGGAAGCAGCTTGATCATCATGTTCAAACATATGCAAATACAACAGTTTTGTAGCAATTATTATGGAGGCTGAATCTGATGATATTACACTTAGAAGATGTAGATATGTATGTGAACACCAAGAAATAAGTTATTTAAAAAAGACAGTTATTTTAGAGCAGCAAAAGAAATCTTGCACAAAACAAATAAAATGCAAATAGTTAGTTAATGCAAGTTGCCCAAAGACAACTGAAGTAATAAAAATTACTTCTTGTCATCTTGAGCATAACCATGAAATCTATCTGGATAATATTATATTTGTTTCCTATTATTGACAATATTCTGATGAGATGAAACAAGATATAGAATATTATACTTCTAAAAAAATTTTTTTTTTTTTGAATTACCCTAATATATAAAATATGCTTATGGTACTTTATATTTAAAGGTTTAAATATGTGAATGCAACTATCTCTACTTAAGGATAAATATCCTAGCATACTTTTTTTACCTCACAATTTATCTCTTACTATTCAATCATTTAAATATCATAATAAAGTTGATAACAAAGCTTTCTTATTTTTAAAAATGCTTCTCAAAAATAAAGTACAAGATCCCAATTGGGTGGTTTGCTAGTGTTTGGACCCTATTTCCAATTCTTTGGAATTGCTTTTATGAATAGAACCCATCTAAGTTGAAACTTGGATTTGTTATTATGATATTATCTTAAATGATAACATGTATAGTACAAATCATTTTAATATAGCTCTTAGCCTTTTTGTATGTATTAATAATCATAACAGGAGCTGTCTTGTTGCTTAGGCTTTAATTAATGATGAAACTACTACTAGTTTTAAATAGGTTCTCTCTAAACTTTTGGAATCAACTGGATACCAACTGTGTGTTCTTGTTACAGACTCAGATGTTACGAATAAGGCTGCTATTGAAAATGTAATGCCTAAAACTTATTATATAAATTGTATTTATCATATTGCTCAGAATCTTTCAAAGAACTCAAAAAGCAAGCTTGGGTCAGATTGAAATAATTTTCTAAAGGATTGATATAAAGCATGCAATAGTTTATCAAAGTTGGAGTTTGAGTCTAAATGGCAATCACTTATTAACAAATATCTTTCTACAAAAAACTACCTTGAGCAAACACTCTATAACACTAAAGAATGATAGGCATTAGCTTAGATCTTATGTAAATTTACTACAGGTAGTATTATTAAGCTTGTAAATTTGGTTCAAAATAATGTCCAGGGTGTTAGTTAAAATTTTAATCCAAATTAAACTTAATTTAGGCCAAAATTTTAACCTACATCTTTAGGCATTATTTTGAGACTATTATTTGTCTTTCTTAAATAACTTTATCAGATTATTAAGTACTTAATAAAATTTTATTAAGCTATTTATTTCAAGATTACTGTATAATGTCAATTCTTTTTTATTTTAACTTTAATTTTTAAAATTTTTCTGCTACAGGTGTTCAGTCAACTCAACGGGTAGAAGGCATTAATAGAATAATCAAATCTATATTAACAAGCAGAACAAGTCTATGTGAACTTGTAAGTGTTTTAGATAACTGACTTGCTAAAGAATCTTTATTTATTCATTACAATAATTGGTCTGAAACTTATATGAAATCAACAAATACAATGACATCAGCACAGTTATTTCCTGAGATTGACAAGTGGCTTGCTCAATTTTTAACTCTATCAGCTTTATTTATGCAAAGGGCTGAAATAGAAAAAGCTCTTTAGTATAGCTCAACTCTAATTTTCAAAAAAAGCATAGATATAAACTTTACACAAAAATATGATGGATGCGATTTTTTTGAAAATCTTAACAATTATCTGGCTACAACTATTAATAAAGTTGCAGATTTACTACCTGTTTAAGAAATTTGGGAGGTTATTTGCTATCAGGCAACTAACAAGAACTATGTTATCTTATATAAAGATAGCACACATATTTGTATTTGTTTATGACTTATCAATTGGAGATTTCTTTGTCAACATTTTATGAAAGTTATAATAGTCTCAAAAATTGCTGATTTTCATATTCTTATAGTTTTACAGCACTGATATATGGATGACAATTATTTAAAATCATATGAATCACTAAAATCTTAACTATTAATTACTTACCAAGATAGACATCCTGTTTTGGTTCATAAGTCTATGTCAACTCTTATACATTTAGATTATGACATTCTCTTTGATATTATGTCAAAAACACTTGACTTCCATCATGCATATAGTGTTGCAAATGGTTTTTGTAAAAAAGCCATTTCTGTCAGATTAAAAGTCAGTTTAGATGCTATAGAAATACTTAATAATTTTCTTAAAAACTTTATTTATCAACATTCTGAAAATACAAATCAACATCTGTCCACTAACAATATTCAAAATAGTATTCAGCACAATAACGAATTAAGCAATTTGGATAATGATCAAGACAATAAAGTATTTTTTGATATATCTACTGTTCATGATCTGATTATTAAGAGAAATAAGGAGGCACCAAGAGTTAAACAGATTAAAAGCTCTTCTGAACCACAAAAGTCACATTCTAATAGTAGCAAAGTTGTAAAAGATAAGGTTACAAGTACACAGCTTTGTTTCTATTGTAAACAATCCAATCATTATGCTAAAACTTGCTCTACTGCTCTTTAATTATGCAATTGCTATATAGTAACAATTTAATGCTTTTATTTATGATTACATGATTATGCAAATTATACTAATTGATTTTTAGCAAGTTAAAATAGTTCATTTATTAGTAATTATAGGTCACATGCTATGTAACAAGTAGATAATTCTACTTTTTGTATGAGATTTTTTATATTACTATCAAATTATGATAAGTATTAATCAATTTATTTTTTTATAAATAATATTGTCTTAATTGTATTATGCAAATATGTTGCATTGTTCTGTGCAAGAAATAACAACAGATATAAGAAACATGATACATACAAAATCTAGCATCAATATTATAACTTTAAATTAATAGTACGTTTGAACATTCTTATTTAATCTTGCATTATTAATGCTATTTGCTATATATATATATTGTAAATACTTTGTTATTTTCTAGGATTATAGTAGAGTTATGAATAAAATTGCCTTTATAACATTCTTAAATAGGCATAAAATTGGATTTTAAAATTGCTTTAACATTTTTTACAATAAGAGAAAATGTATAATATGCATGTCAAAATGCTTAAATAACTTTAATTGGTACACTTTGAACTGCTTTTCAGAAATGTACTATTTTACTAATAAAAAATTGTTGTAAAATAGTAACTTCAAAAGAACATCTGTGATTAGTATAAAAATCCTAATGCTTTGCTATTCATTGTAGTTCTAATTGATTAAAAAGAAAATTGAGATTTACTGTAAGTTTTAAACCTTATAAGTACTACTTTATATGTTATATTAACAATACTTACTAGAACGGGTGTGGCGACTTAGTGAAGTGGTCAGGTTGTCAACTCTCCAAGTGGTAGGTTGGATGTTCAAATCCCATTGATGGTAAAAATTTGGATAATCACCTATGTAATATTCATATTACAGCAACTGTTACTAATGATTGGGTTAGGATATTTGTAATGATGGTCGTACCAGCATGACTGGCAGGTCATGAGGCATTCATGTAACAGGTCATATGACATTGTCCTTTAGGACATGGTTATGGTTACATGAAGGAATGCAAACCGGCAATAGGCAGTGCAAACACTAGATAAGTCCTTGTAGCCATGTAAATCCGTTGAAATTGGATAACAAAAAGTTCATTTGGGAAGACCTGAGTAGAGAGGTAGCTGGATCTTTGATGGCC